GCCTTTTGAGCCCCCAGGACGCAGTGGGCGAGCCCCTTTGATGAGCGGAGTCGCCGATGCCGAGATTGGCGGGGCTCTCTTCCCGTGCGAGGCCGCGGAGGAGCGTAGCCGGCGAATGGAGGTCGGCGCAGGCGGAGGCGGACGGCGGAGCGGCAAGGCCACGAAAGCGACGGAGTTAGGGTTTGGCTGGTTGCAACAGCGGGGTCCACAATGGCAAGGCGTGCCCCTCCGCCATGGCGAGGTGGCCCAGATGAGCGGGATCCGCCTTGCGGAGGCGCCACGGGCAAAGCGGCAGGCGTGGTGGTGGGCTGCGGCATGCTGCAAGCCAACGACTAGGACGGAGAGGGAGAGTGGGAGGGAGCGAACGAGAGCGAGAGGGAGCGACGAAGAGAGAGGAAGAAAGGGGGAGAAGCCGGGAAGGGGGATCGGAAGCGGCTGTATATATTGGGTGGGCTGACTCCGAAGTAGAATCTAGACAACAACAGAGAGGAAGCACGGAAAAGAGAAGAAGCGGCCCGTAATCCGCTCCGGCAAAATCCGCTTCAAACAACGGTGGCCATCCGATGAAAGATCCGACGACGAAATAATTTCGGCGACGCCGCCATACTGGCCTGGTTTAAATGACCAAACTCTCCGATTTGATAATAAGCCCTTGTTTAGTTCAAAAATTTGGATTTTGTATTCTTTGTAGCACCTTCGCTTTTATTTGGCAAATAGTGTTCAAACATGGACTAATTAGGCTCAAAACGTTCGTCTCGTAATTTCCCACCAAACGACTTTTCGCTACATTTAATGCTGGTTGACGCAAACATTCGATGTAATAGTCTCCTTTTTGAAGTTGAAACTAAACAAGACGTAGAGATATTATTGGCCACCAAAAGCAATCATGCATGCGTGTTTTTTTGTTCCTAGCCTGATCCCATGCATGCATCACTTGTTTCAGGATCTAGACTAGATTCTGTGCAGCTAGCACCAAGCCACCAAGCAAGACCATCCACAGTCAACCTATGTACTAGCTTTCGACTGCAGAGTCCCGTGCAAGGCAATTCCGGACAGACAGCATAGCAGAGCATGCAGTAGGGTCGTCTGGCATGTAGCGTTAGCTGGCCAGACGGCCAGCGTTGTCGCCACATGCGCACGTACACTGCACACTGGTGCGTTTAACCTGTATAGTACGGAGTAGGACTGTATAGCTAGAAAAAGAACCTAGGCCTGGTTTAGATCGCAAGTTTTTTCACTCTCTTTCCATTACATTAAATCTTTAGATACATGCATAGAGTATTAAATGTAGATAAAAAAATAACTAATTACACAGTTTGATTGTAAATTACGAGACGAATCTTTTGAGCCTAGTTAGACCATAATTAGACAATAATTATTAAATACAAACGAAAGTGCTATCAGCCTGTTCGGGAGGCCGTATCGTATCATGAATTATTTACTGTTGGCTGGTTTGGTGTGAGAGAAAAACACTGTTCCCGGCTAGAAATTTACGATCGTTTATGAGCAAGCGAACAGACTGTATAATGTCAAATACTGATTCGTAACCCCAATCTAAATAAAGACCAAGTGATAACGTGCACGAGTTCGGCCCCCGGCCGTACAGCGAACTGCGAGCGAGTAAGGACTGAGGAGTGACCACCCGTCCACCCGCCTACTCCTCACGTGTCCCATCCTGGCGCCATAGTCGCACATGCAAACATGACGTGCTCTAATAACTCCGGCGTATGAGCCACTAGAGATGGGAACGGATGGTCATAGAAGTATGAATGCCACTATTTACATACGAGTATTTTCTTCCCCCTCTATGTTAAATTATAAGTTTTTATGCACCTAAATATTCATATGTCTAGAAAAGCTAAGACAACTTATACTCTAAAATAAAGGAAGTATTATATATGAGTATGGATCTGAATACATTGGATAGTGATACAAAATTGATATTTTAGATACATTTTCACATTCGGATATCCATTTAATAACTTTGTTTGTTGTCTATAAATACCGATCTAATGATTTTAGAGAAACAAATCACATATCATATATCGAAATATAATAAGTATATTAATTCTATACATATAGATAAATAATAATAAAATCACTCCATCTGTCTCGAAATATAAGGTATCTTAAGAATTCTAGGAAAGATTATAGGATAAAATAAATAACGTGTAACCCTTTTCTAACTATAGAGATATCTTATGTTTACTGTATTTTGAACCTCGTGGTAGACACTAATGGTAGGTGTGTATTAATTCACCAAGAATATTTTATAATTTGAAACAAAGTTTCAATCCTACAATACCTTATATTCTAGGATGGAGGGAGTACATTGGTACTCATATACTAATTATGTTATTATAAGTGTAAATCAATAATCATGTTATTGATCTATATAAAATATAAATGAATAACAACACTAACTATGCGTGCATCATTAGTATTTAAGATAAAACATGAGCTACTAATTACTTGTAGATACAACTTTTGGATAGTTTCAACCTTTTAAAGTTGAATGCCAACTATTAAAAAACAACATAATATATCATCGGGCATTATGAATTGAAACTAGCATACGGAGTAATTAGCAATTAAATTAATATCATTGGTTATATAAAATAATTAACTTTTGTTATTTATATATATATCCTTATTAATATTATTAGTCATTGCATTTAAATAGTTTCAATGGTACATACTAGTAATATATTACAGAATCAATTCAGTGACATGAATAATTTTTAAATAGTTCATCGAGTACAAAATTCTTCACGAAGACAAATGTTATTAGACATTTTTGGATACGGATCTTGATATCGAATAGAAAAGATAACAGAAAACAAACACGGGTAACTGTTGGCGGTGGCGAGTTCCTTTTTCCTCCGGTACAGTACAGGGTACCCTGCACAGGGCCTTGGCTCCGTGCAGTGGTTCAAAGCACCATGCTGCAACGCACGGTCACGACCTAAGATTTCCTCGTGTCAACAGTCGCCGACTGCAACTGCAAGGACCATAAATGTTGCGACGGCCGTGCTGCGATTGTCGAATCGCTTAGCCTGTGGGCGTGCCACTTGTAGAGAGTGCACGTGCAACGCGACGTACGTTGTCTCGCGTTCCTTGGGCGCCGTCTGTTTTCCGTCTCGCCAGGGGCTCAGAGAGAGAATGAATACTGAACAGTATGTAGTACAGCCTAACATAGAAACTGCATTACTGTAGGATGGTGGTTAACTGACGCTTCTTAGTCCTTTGTTTAGATCCAGCATGTAAAGTTTCGGATGTCACGTCAGATGTTATACGAGGGTGTCGCATGGGATGGTCGGATACTAATAAAAAATAAATTACAGAATCCGTCGGTAAACCTCGAGAGCGAATTTATTAAGCCTAATTAATTCGTAATTAGCATATGTGTTATTATAGCATTTTATTGTCAAATTATGGACTAATTAGGCTTAAAAGATTCGTCTCGCAAATTAGTCGTAAACTGTATAATTAGTTATTTTTTAGTCTATATTTAATACTTTATGCATATGTCCAAATATTTAATGTGACATGATATAAAATTTTGGGGAAGAAACTAAACAAGGGCTTAATCAACGAAATCGCCGCACAAAGTACCGTGTGACCCGAGCCAATCCAATGCGTTCCCTTTTTTTTTCTTCAATTTCTGCGGCGGTCGAGACCCCGTGACGAGGCTGCTGCGCTCGCCGGTGAGTTCGGTTAAAGCCGGACACGCGTCGGCCGCCGGAGAATTCCACCGAGAGAAGCGAAGTCTTCCGATTGCGCGACCGTGGTTCGACACATCATGTACTACTAGTACGACACGCACGCACGCGAACAGGAACATCCCCCTTTGAAAGGCTGCCCGTTTTTTAGGTTGTTTGCTGGCACGTCGCATCTGACGGATGGATCCATCGTGTCCGGACGGCGGCGCCTTTGACGTTTCGTTGGTCCGGCTGATGCCTGATCGGCAGATCCCACCCTGACTGACGCCGGCGCCGCCCCCGGCCCCAGTCCCAGCCACTGACGTCATGTCGCCTCAGCCCATCAGCCGTCCGTACGAGCGCGCGCGGCTGTCCGGCGTCCATTCGCGCGGCGTCGCTTCACACGAAAGCCCCGCTCGGAAGCTGCGCTGCCACACGTCACGTCCCGCGTCCTCTCGGGCCGGACCCCCGGGTGCCGGGGGCGTACGCGGCGCGGCGAACAACGACCACCAGGCGGTCAGACGGAGCGGGGGCCAACGGCGACTTGGGGCCGGTCAGAGCGTGCGATAGATGCGGCCGCACTTTCGAGGGGGAAGACGCGTTCCTCCACGCGGGGACGCGGCGCGGGTTTTCGTAGAGGAACAAGAAAACCTTCGGACCGGTGCCCCGCGCGCGCACGCGCCTTGGCGCTAGCGACGTGAAATGCAGAAAACACGCTGCCGGTCAGCCAGTGATACAATGTGTTTCGGTTCGTCGAAGTAAACAGCACATGTGAGCTGAGGTGCCTGGAACTCCGCGGTTGCTTTGCTTCCCACAAGGTAGGAGTGGACATTCCAAGGAACATTTTTTTTTAGAATGCATTCCAAGGAACATTCAAACAGTGACACACTCATTCTTGCACACCAAATCGAATGGAGTAGATTCCATCTCCAGAAACGAGTCAAGCTAAGTGAAAAAAAACACTACTAGTATCAGTTAGCTACTAGGAATAGGAGGTTGGGCAAACAGAGCGTCTAAGAAGGAAACTATCTATAATAAGTAGGAATAGCTAGCTAGGAACAAGAACAACAAACTGTGCCTTACGAGTTACGTGTACACATCTCATCTAATAAAAGATCCAAATGTAAACGTAAAACTAGGAAACGAGCAGTAAATTTAATCTTGGCCATTGCATTTTCTGTGGCTTTACTACGTGGCCGGCATGCAGTCACGAGGAAAAAAAACTTGCACTAACGACTGGCAGTTGCACGCACGCGGCGAGGACGGTTGCGACTTACAGCTACCGCTACACACAGACAGTCACGGGGAGGGGGTGGCGCTGGTCATCCCCCGTGACATCGCCGCGAGCACCGTCTCCGCGGTGAGCTGCTCGGGCCCGGCCGACCGCAGCACGAGCGTGTGCGTCACGGCGTCGTCCGCCACCGCCACGTCCGACGCCGCCACGCTCAGCTGGGCGTCCCTGATGGCGTGGAACACCCTGGAGACCGGGTGCGCGTACAGGGGCGTCGTCACGCGCAGCACCACCTCGTCCTGCATTGCCTTCACCTCCACGGCGGGCCTCTCCGCGCGCGCCGCCGAGCAGGCGCCGCCGCCGCCGCGGAGCCGGTCCTCCAGCTCCTGGATGTACGCGATGGCGTCGCTGAGCAACGACGCCTTGTCCATCTTGGAAATCTTGGGGACCACGGCGCGCAGCGCGTAGAACCGCTGGTTCAGCTTCTCCCGCCGCTGCCGCTCCGCCTCCACGTGGTTCAGTGGCTCCTCCCGCCCGTTCGCCGGCTTCCGCCCGCGCTTCCGCGGCCTCCGCTCCTCGCCACCGGCGGCCTGCTGCTCGGGCTTTCCCGGCGGCTTGGTGAAGTCTATGCTCCTGGGCGGCTCCGGAGCCTTGGGTCTCGCGGCGGCTGCTTCCTTGGACGCGGTGGCTTGGGCGCCGAGCTGTGGTGGAGCCCAATTGTCGCCGCTGCGCGAGGTTCGGCCGCTGGGGGAGAGGTCCTTGCCGAAGATTCTCATGCATTCCTCGCGTGCCGGGGGCGTAACAGCGAGGGCGGTCTGGATTGCGCGCACTGTCTCGGGAGTCTCGCGGACGGGCACGACGGAGCCCAGCTCGAGGACGCCGCCCTTGCACGGGAGGAAGACGACGGTGCGGAGCCCCGCGGACTGGGCGAGCGACGCCCGGACGTACCACCCGGGCGCGGCCTCGCCGCTGGCGCCGGGTCCGCGAGGGTGCGGGTCCACGGTGGCCCAGGCGTGGCGGCCGGAGGCAAGCGCGTGGCCCGGCCCGCCCGCGCCCTCCGGGAAGGAGAAGTACATGGACGCCAGGAAGTACATCTCGGCGGCGGTGACCCGGTCGAGGCGGAGCGCGTAGTCGGCCCCCTCGTCGTCCCCGCCGCCGTAGAGCGCGTGCAGCCGCAGCAGCGCGCGCTTCCGCGCCACGCTCCGCTCGTCGTCGTCGTGTGGGGCCGGGGCGCCACCGCCGTCGCGGCAGTGGCCGTCGCCCCAGCCGAGCACGGCGGTGCCGGCGCCGCGGGACTCCTGCCAGAAGATGCCGTACGTCCACGCCCCGCCCCGCTCGACGAGGTCCTGCAGGCGCGCCTGCAGCTCGGGCGCCGACGCCGCGGGCCCGTCCAGGTGCGGCGGCGTGGTAGCCAGGTGGTGCGCCGCGTCCCGCCCCAGCACCGCAGCGAACAGCGCGGCGTCCGTCTCCGACCACGCCATGCTGCTTGCTGCCGCCTAATGCCTTGCTTCGCGCCCGCTGCTGTCTGCTACGCTGTGCCGTGGTCAGCGGCTCTCTCTGTGGTCTGTGCCCACCGAGAAAACGCGTCCGTGAGCGTGACTTGGCCTGACACAGCTTGGTTGGGTTCTGCAGCTCGCGCTTTTTAAACGCGGTGCGGAGCTGAGGACGGGACGGGAGATCACGGGAGCTGGTCTGGTAGTGCCGCGCAGCGCTACTCGCGACTCGCGAGCGTAGCAGAGCAGGCCAGTGGTTTGGTCGCCGTGAGCGTGATACGAGGTGCGAGACGCGAGCGAGGCCTCGTTTAAAAACGAGGCGGTTACGTACGGAAGGGGCGTGGGTTCGCTGCACCGAGACCCGGGAAAGGATCGGGGCAGTCTTTGGAGCGACGCGTTGCCGCATGTGAATCATGCTGGCCCTTGTCGAGTTGTTGTTGGCTGCAATTTGCAGAGGGAAAGGCCGATGGACGGAGGAATTGAACGTGGATGAAGTTGGAGGGGGCGTGTGCGTGGGCGCAGGCGCAGCGCGCGTGCCACAGTACTCGATCCTATATATTCAAGTCAGCAGTTGGTTGTTCACTTCGTGGTCCGCGACTCCGCAGTGGTTACTGCCGAGTGCTGAGTGCGTCCTAGTAGCAGCATGCGCAGGCATCCGGGCATCCGGCAAATTGTCATGGACATGGCCATCTATTGCTCCCTGAGAACTGAACCTCGTATTCGTGCAAAAATCTACTATGGCTAGTTGGTTAGGCGAGGTACAAACGGCATGGCATGAACTGGAGCTCTAGACAGAGAGAGCACGCGGACAGCATGGAAACCGAATCGACCAAACAATGCTTTGAAAGGAACCTCGAACCGTTTTTATTCTAGAGACTAGAGAGAATGCCAACGACAGGAGTCCACCCTGGCGCCTAAACGGTCGTTCGCTGATCTAAAACTTAGCTGAAACTGGCTGGTTTTGTGAGAGAGAAACACTATAGCAACTGGTTGATGAACAGTGTTTTGAGAGAGAGTCAGCCGGCTGATCTGGACCATCCAGACCACCGAACGCGCCTAGCTTGCCGTGTAGTAGGGCCCAGTGAAACTCGACCAACCCACCATTACAGTTCAGACTGAAGCAAAGCCGTAATAGTAGCTCCCGATTCTAGTCGCAGCCTGCTCGAGTAAGCGAATTATAGGAAGGTTTGCGATAATGGCCCACCACACGTGGCCGGTTGACAGGGGCTCGCTCCGACCCATGGACCACACAGTTCTGCTGGCAGTGGCATGCGGCATCATTGTTTTGCTGAGCACAGCCGGGTGACGCCCAGTCGCCCACGTACTCTACTTGCATGCTGCTTTGTCTTGACACACGTACGCCTGCAACGAACGAACGAGCGAGCGAGAGCCGAGAGAGCTGGGGGCCCGCATGGCATGGCATGGCCGGCGCATGATTCCTTTAGCATGTGACACGTGATTCCTTTAAAAGAAGGGACGTCGTGTGGTTTTTTTTCGAAATACTATACAACACACATGTGTTTTAGTAGAAAAAAACATATGGATTTTTCCCTCTCTTTTCACAGGTGTTGCGGACAGCGCCGCTGTCGGCCACCGGCCGCTTCCTGTTGTGGATCACTGCGGCAGCACCGCTTCCTGTTTCGGCAGCACCGCTTCATGATCGGAGTGGGAGCACTGCAGCAATAAAAAATTGATTTGTTCTGTTCCAGATCGGAGCGGGAGCACCGCTTCCTGTTCCTGTTTTAGTGGAAAAAAACCGATTTGTCTTCTTATCCTTGCATAGAAAAAACTGTTTTTGTAATCTGTGGATTTGTGATTTTTTGATTTGTAATTGTTTAGAAGTAAAAGAAGGCCGGAGGTAGAAGGAGGATGGAGGCTATTGGATTTTAATTTTTTGTACAAAAAATTTATGTGTTGAAATTGTATAAAACACATGGTTGTTGAGTAGACAGACTCATTTTTTTTGGATGTGCATGCAAGCATGAAGAGATCCAAGCCAGACAATAAATAACAGTGTATCTCAATTGGTAATTTGGTGCCGGATCTATGGGTCAACAGTGTGTCTAAAACTCACAACATCTTTTTTAGATAAATTTTGAATCACATAACGTTACTTTTTTTTTTACGTAGGGAGTAGGTACCAGAGGTCCGGCCTCCTCGCCCAGATCTGAGCTCAGTTCCGATGTCTTGAATCTTTTATCATGCCTTGCTCCGACAGATTGTCCTCGTCTCCAGTGATCCGTACGTAACAAGATTATTTCTGTACTGTACCTAGGTGATATGTATGGGATAACTGCCTGTTCGTTTATACTATGAGTCATACTATTTTAGCAAATGAACATCATTTTTCTTTCACAACGAATCAGCAAACAGTACTTTCAGCTATAGCTTTTCAGCAAAGCGAGTAGGCCTCTTTCACAACGAATCAGCAAACAGTACTTTCAGCTATAGCTTTTCAGCAAAGCGAGTAGGCCCGACATCGGTCAGGACGACTCCCGCTTTTCTCGTGGAATTGGTCAAGAAATCAGATTAATTAGCCTGTCCTAAACGTGATTCGGAGTATATGTTAAAAAAGCAATGCGGGTGTGTATCTTTAACCCTTCGTTTAATTAGCGTATAGTTTCTTTCTTGATGTTGACAAGAAATAAAAAATCGTTTCGGACTATCCTCATGAGACAGCAGTTGGTACCTGCTGCGGATTTACAGCACCATAGACGCATCGCTGTAGATAATCATATCATCTACCATGAAAAAGAAAAGTGTCGTTACTTTACTTGTTCACAATCCTTTTTAAGCATCAATTCTATGATTTTTTTTACCATCATGTTGAAATGTAAATGTTTGTATGCACTAACCTTCCCCTTTTTATAACACATTCATGTGAACCTTGGTACTTCTCAACCACTGCCTTGCTAAAGTCGCCCCAATAAATATTCAAATGGGTAGCTTATCACGGCCTTGGCATCCATGGCGACAACAGTGAGAGGAAAGAGAAGAGGGAGAGTAAAGGCATGCGCATCTTCATTTGCCAACTGTGTAGTCGTACCAGCCATGCTTAAAGGGGGTTGTGGGCTAGTGGTGAGCCATGGTTTGGTCGAGATTGGGGAAACCAAAACTTAAATAAACTATTTTAACCCAAGTTTTCCCATGATGAATTTGATTCTATTTTTTGAAATTATTTTTAGATTAGTACTTGTCACAAGTTTGTAAAATAATTTGACTTGTTTCAAGTTATGTTCAATTTTCAGTTCCCAAAAACAAAATCCTGTTTATTAAGTTACCAGGGATTGTTTGTGGGTTTGCTTTAAGCCCTAGGGTGTATGTAAGTGGGTTTGCTTGAGACCTATGAGTAATGTTGTCGGTGCAGAAAGTGACAAACACGTAAATATTTGTAGTTTTGCCGTACGGTGTGATCGGATATGACCTAGCACTCAATGACACAGGGTTTATACTGGTTCAGGCAACGTGCCCTACGTCCAGTTTGAGTCGGTCGGTGACTTTATTCCTGAGCCTAGGTACTCGAAGTTTACAGTGGGGTTACAAACGAGAAGGAGAAAGATGGGGTTCAAGAGATCCGGTCGGACTCTGGTCAGAGGGGCCGAGAGTGACGAGAGCTCCGCTATGTGCTAGGTGTTCTAGCGTGTGCTTGTGGTTTGAACCTGGTGGTTCTATTGTTGTGTACTAGTGAACTGATCGATCTTTCTCATTGAAAAAGAGCGCATCCCCTTTTATAGATGAAGGGGATGGCCTTACAAGTGAGAGGGAGAGAGTATGTATGCTGCTAAGTCTTGCTGCTCACGCCGGTGGGTACAAGATAATGGTAGGCGCCCACAATACTATTTAATGTCAGATGCACGTAGGAGGTTGCGTCGTCTTCTTCTGGTATGGCAGATGTAAGTGTGTGCCACACTGTTGATGCCAAGAGGCATGTGGGGGAGCCTTACCATATTTGTCTGGTATGAGAGTTGATGGCGCCCACAACATTGTATAGGAAAATGTCGGCGCCTACAACACTGCTTGGGTTCTATCATATCAGGAAGGTCACAGGGTACTGTCCTGCAGGTGTATAGGGTACGGTCCTTGGTATTGCGGTTGACTTGAGTGCCCTGCCTTACTTTTTCCGTCCGTTTCCTGGTCCTTTCTGAGCGGGCGTCCCCGGTCGGTTGGTTCCAGTTGTCTTTGATTGCGCGAGTCAAAGAGGAGCGGTAAGGAGGGGTTCGGCGCATCCCCGGTCGGAGATGCGGGTCGGAGTCGAAAAGTGGTATTTTGCCAGGCCTTCTGCTCGGAGAGGCTGTCTGGAGGTGAGCGTTGTTCCTCGTGAGGCCTTCCGGTCGGAGAGGCGGGCGAGTCGGAAGCGGCGCCCGTTCCTCCTCGGCCAGGCCTTCCGGTCGGAGATTGGATTGTCCTTTTGGCCTGTCGTTTAGGTGTTTGGGCCGGCCCATGAGCTTAGCGTTGTTCGTAATGTTGTCTATCGGTCCATGAGGGACCCCGGGTTTATGAACCCGATAGGAGCCCCCGGGCGATTCGGGTAGAATCGTCTGGGGATTTTTTTCTTGACGGCGGTGTGCGCGAGCGAGCACACTCGCATGTGTAGTCCCCGGGCTATTCGGGTAGAATCGTTTGGGGGGTTTTGTCAGCGAGGGTGTGTGCGTGCATTTTAGTCGAGATAGAGTCGTCAACCAATGCGTCGTGCGCAGCCGAGGCGGTTTTTTAGGGATCGGGTGAGACGGAGCTCGCGGATTCTGGCGTCGGTGCAGCTCGCGCAGCCGAGGCAGTTTAGTTTAGGGATAAGGCGAGACGGAGCTCGCGGATCCTGGCGTCAGTGTAGCCCATGCAGCCGAGGCAGTTAGTTTAGGGATAGGGCGAGACGGAGCTCGTGGATCCTGGCGTCGGTGCAGCCCGCGTAGCCGAGGCAGTTAGTTTAGGGATCAGGCGAGACTAAGCTCGCGGATCCTAGCGTCGGTGCAGCCCGCGCAGCCGAGACAGTT